AAATGAACAAGACAACTGCGCCATCTTGACTCTATCAATTCGTGTTTAAGATTGAATTGAGGGCTTTTTAAACACTTGATTACTTATATGACATCACTATGAAGACGTAATACAACTGATACACGTACAGTACATAGGATTAACAATGTCTGTTGCGCTGTTGCAAGAAGGAGGAAAATATTACTAGAAGTGTAAACTCTTTAAGAGTTCCAGAGGCGTATCGGAGATGTCTATCTTCGGCTGTCACAAAACATTAACCCCCTCTTAAATTTACTAGGAAAAATGAACTTACAAACTTCGTGTCCAAAAAATTTGGAATTCATTAGACCGATACGCCGGTTGTTTCAATTTTGCTTTTTCCTTGGGCTGTTATATAAAACAGTTCATAAATTGACTAATGAATAGACAATGGTGGAAAAAGTTTCTAAAACATTTGACAAGAATTTCATGGGGCTCACCTCAATAATTTTTGTCAGCCAGAGTCAAGACGCGCCAAGCTAAGCGACATCGCCCTCAAGTAAAATAATAAGAAGAAATGTGGCGAGCGTGAGGAAACGCACATTTTTTTTTCATTATTGTGATCAAAGCGCAATAATGTACCTTAATTAGTACTTACGATATCAAACCATTGATTATGACAGGGTGAGCTTAATTCTTCTGTCGAGGTCGACGTGACCACATTAAAAGCGTTTTTGACGGAACAAATTAGTGAGCATCACTGCACGAACTGAGAAAGTAAAAACTTGTATTTATCTCCCACGCGTTTCGTCTGACAATAGTAAACTTCATCAAGGAGTTTTAAAATTAGGGTAAATAAGCTTGCTCATATACAAGTAGTAAATAAGTTATCTCTTTACTATTGAAGCCAGTGGAAAGAATTCGCCAGGTGCGCCTGCGGTATTGTACATGCGTGACATTTTTCGGACGTTACATGTACGAGTGTGTGATCCGTTTGAGGGTCACAGATTTTTTGTATAAATATTTGACCTCTTAACACATTATGTCTCTAGTTTACAGAGGTCTTAGAACGCTTCATTGCATGGATTTGCCTTCTGCAGTTCTAATGCTAAAAGCGAATTTCTCGGGCGTAATTGCTTATGAATTCTCAATTGATGTTGTCGCAAACACAGTTTTCGGGAGTCACGAAGCAAAAAATCGGGACCTAGTTTCATGTTTTAATGGAAATAAATAGCTGATAAAAACACATTATATTGAGAAATAAAGTTATAAATAACAGGGGTTCTTTGAAACAAATAGTGATAGAAAAGGTTTCAGTTCTGGTCAATATTGACTTTTCATAGCCTACTTCCAAATCTGAGGGAACGCGCTTAGGGAATTAAAATAACATACATGTATGATAATGCAAGAAAGAGAATAAAAATACAAATAAAAAAAAGGGGAAAACATAGGAGCCCGTGATGCAGCGCGCAGATATCTTTCGTGCCAGACCTACACACCTAGGCCCGGTGTCCCAACGGATTTGGACCCCCCTAGATTTGGACCCGGATAGCGGATATGGACCCCCCCCTCCGCGGATTTGGACCCCGCAACAAAACTGAGTGAAAAAATCATCCTTAACGTTCTAGTAAAAACGGATGATACTTTACGTTCCAGTGCGTACTAAAATATGTTTTTAATTCAAAACATGCGCATCGTTAATGCATTCGAAATGGCATCCCGTCGGATGTTTCTTTTGACCAAGGGAAAATGAGCAAGAATTTAGTTTAATGTCTGGAGAGAGATCGCTTTTGAACCTTTTCCGCAATAGTCGAACACCGCTAGATTCAATAAGAGACAAACTTGTGACACTAATTTATTTTGTCATTGTTCAATGCCCGAGTGTTAGGACGACATGGTACAGTGTGAGTTGTGCGAGGAAAGGTTACACATGAGCTACGAGGGACACACAAGTTGCCCCATTCAACGATTATTATTATGAAGGCTAATAAAGTATGATATTATCAGCAGTAAATTTAAGAATGTTGACGATAGTACACACTTAGAGCGTTAGTATCGCGAGGTGTTTAAGAGAGGGAATTCAAAAAGGATATAAGCTAATCTGATATCACAAAAAAATTGCGAGGAAACCAAGAGCGAATCATGCTACACCACCCAATAGCTAGACAAATAAGACGTGATTCAACTTCCAAGGCTATAGTTAACGGCTAGGCAGATCTCGTAATCCTGTATCAGTGTAATTGAACAACACAAAATGCATGATTTATCTACGAAGGCATATCAAAATGTCTTTTAGTGACAAAATTCAGCGCCAAGCTCAAACTGAATTGAAATATAGACTGCCTCGGGGTTCTCTTTTAAGCGCACTAATTTGCTTTCTATATCATAACGATAAAGATCAATCATAATTATTGGACATCAGAGGAATCCACCAGCTATGCAGGGTGATTTTTTAAGTGACAAGATTTCCTAAAAGAGATATATGACCTACCGGTATATGAGTTTGTTGCATAATGCTACATTGACAATTTTGGACAGCTAAAAGCTAGATCGCCACTCAATTGAACGAAGCCTCAAACTGAGGAGCACTTAGCTGAATGCAGTACAATAAAATTCCAATTCATTTGAAATGCTTTATAGTTTCAGCTTACCTAGGAACTAAAGGTCTCTAACAGCTATTCGATATGTAATATTTCCTTTATAGACTATTTTAACTTTCTTTAATGTGCAATATTTCCAACGGAAATAGACTGCACTTTGTGACTTAAGTCCCTCAGACTTATGAAAACGGGAGATTGATATGGCTCCCGCCTCTTTTGCATTCTTATCCTTAAATGGATAGCCTCCATCCTTTTATGAGTATCTTTCCTATGTGTGATACGCGTTCAGGAATTTGAAATCGATGAAGTGACAAGGTTGACTTCGTAAACGTGTGTTTATCATCGGCTTACTTAGGAACTAGATCTCTAAAACTTTTTGACCGTTCTTTTCATTTTTAACGATTTAAACTTTGGTTTTGAAGTGTAGTTTACGTAAAATTACAAGTGATCAGTAGGTTTACATTCAAATGTTACTGAATTAAAGTACGCTCAGTGACTTAAGTTTCCCAGACCTTTTAAAAAGTAAGAGGTGAAAGTGACTCACCCTTTCTCTCTCTGTCTTTGCATGCATAGCCTCCTTGTGATTAATACACACTCACCAAATTAGAATGAATAACTTAGCTTTACAGACTCTGCTGACTATATAATCGTAGTTTTTCGGTTATAGGGCACATTATTTTTCCGAGAAATTCATGTTTTCTGTTAAAAATTACTGCCGAAATTTGGGTGCGTCTTAGAGGTGAATATTTTCGGGAAACAAAGTTTCTTGATGACAGTTGTTATTTCTATTTAAGTTAATAACAAGGACAAGCAATGTTGGTAATTGACTCTTATGTATGCGGTTTTTGTTCAATCAAGTGCAAGCTTGCTTTTTTTTGTACACGTGCGACGATTTTGCGTTTGTTAATTAAACTCGAATCTATACATGATTCTTTCGCTTTGTTTCAAGTTAATTGGAAAAACAGGAAATGGTATTGTAACAAAATAAATTTGATCGCTGTCGTTTATGTAAACTTGACCGAACATTTTTTCTCTTCAGTTTAAGGTGCATCTCATAACCAAGTATTTCCGTGATATTTTGAGTTTGTCAACATGACACAGTTGAGTTGCCAAGTTGGGGGTGTGCCTTGTAGCCGAGTGCGCCTTATAACCGAACAACTACGGTGGTTCCTTTCCTTTAAACCTAGCCGGTCTGCATCTGTTCTAAGCGAAAATTCATCTCTCTTATGTAGGAGTGTTCTCATTATCTCAGCCCAGGCCTGGATGAATTTTCATTTCGTAATTTCTCAGTTTGCTTTCTTTTCAAATATGTCAGATTTTAAGACAATACGGAAAGTAATTATCTGTGCTAATACACCACAGCAATCTTCATTAACACGAAGTCTTTCAAGTAGCTAACCAAAGTCGATATTGTATACGATCGATATAGATGTTTTTCAAATTGGATACCAACAACTCAAATATTTTTGTAAAATAATATCTTTACTAAAAGTGGGAAGGGATGATTTTCTTGAGAAGGGTAAAGTATAGCTTATAAGCGCTGTAAAAATTACCATGAAACTAACCTGCCCACAGCCATTTCTTTGACTGATTATCTTTTGGAGTGTATGCGCGGTTTTACCCAATTAAATAAGCAAATTTTAATGTTTCTCTGACGATTTACCGGAAACATCTGAGAAGGGGTTAACAAGTGTATGCGCGGTTTTTAGGCGCAGTTCTATGCGCGGTTTTTATCTAAATAAATGTTAAAATTTTTATGTTACTTTTGAGGGTTTACCGGAAAGGTCTGAGAAGGGACTAATTATCGAGTTGTCAGCCTTTGAATCTCTTTACAGTGACCAATTTAAAATATCAACTGAGCTGATTAAAAAGAAATAAATTTTAATACCCTCCACCGACGCAGCACCACTCTAGTTTTTAGGAACTTGCCCCCCTATTCTTCTAATCATTTCAAAGAAGCCTGCGACGATATCTAAACGACAAGAACTCCAAACTGAACATTCTCAAAGACTGAGAATTCCTTGAGTCCAGGGAAGTTCTTCTTTCTAAAAAGAAACAGCTGGTTTTTGAAGAAGCGAAAGGAAATTACCCTCATGCTGCAAAAGAACTATTCAACGCCGAAGAAGATTTGTTGTTTCGCACAGGTGAATTCGGCGCTGAAAACCCCGAAGCCCTCCAACGCACAGCTTGGTGGTTATTGGCACTGTACTTTGGATTCCGTGCCCGAGACGAAAGCAGGGAACTAAAATGGGACGACATTGTTCTTCAAACAGACAACTAAACGGGCAAGAAATTCCTGATTTGGAAATCAAAAAGAGGATCTAAGACCCGCCGTGGCAATGGTGATACACGAGCATTTAATCCAACCGCGCAGGCAACAAACAACGAACGTTGTCCAGTTTTTTCTATTACAAGGGATTCAAGAGTCACCGTCCAGAAGAAATGAATAGCGTTGACAGCCGGTTTTACTTGGCCATAAATTATCGGCGACGACCTGGCAGCAACATCTGGTACATGAGAACACCACTCGGCAAGAACGAGATTGGTAAGCTGATGAAAACAGCTGCGCAATCAGTAGGCCTGCAGGGAAATTTTACCAACCACACTGTTCGAAAAACTTGTATATCCCACCTGATGGATGCAGAGGTTCCCGTAAATTACGTCGCTCAATTAAGCGGGCACAGAAATTTGAAGAGCCTCGATTCTTACAAAGCAGCGGAAAATGTCCTTAATTTTAAGCCGCTCCGGCCAAGAAAGTACTCAGACATCAACAGTAAGCGTCCACGAAACACCACTTCGCCGGCGAATCTTCCCAAATATGTCAGTAAACTAGGAATTTTCTCAGGCGCTTGCATCGGGAAAATTTAAGGCTGCACCTTCACGTTCAACATTACCCGTGAAAAATAAGAAAGCCCAAAGTCCGCAAAGCCCAAGAAAAGAAGCGATGATTCCGATTCTGATTAGCTAGCTGAAATTAATCCGCTGTCTTCGGAAAATACTTTCCTTCGGATCCTTTGACTTTTTTCATTGAAGATTTCACAATTGCAGAGTCATTTAGCTTAAATTTGTTTGCCACGCTGACAACCAGAACTGTTGTTTGTTAAAAAATGCGCATGTGATTTGTCCCTACGCGCTCTTAAATTGACAGGTGTCAGATCGTGACAGATACTTTAAAAAAATGTTTCGAAGTTTTCTTGGAAGCCTTTTAAATCACCTTTTAATATCATTACGCATGTAAATATGTTTTGATGAAACCTCGGTCTTTCATTTGCATTGCCCTTGTTTTCTCTACCATCCACTCGCTCATAAATTGTTCCGTTTATGGAGAATCTTGCCGTAATTACAGCCCTTTATCATTCAGGTTCTTTTTGCAACCATTTGTTAGGTTTTAGAAAAAAGTGAAAATGTTATTCACCAGCCAAGGTCGGTCCGTATTGGGAGAAACTGTGCCCTCTGTCTTGCGGTATCCAAGACCTCGGGCACAGTTTTTCTCAATACGGACCGACCTTGGCTGGTGAATAACATATGTATGGATTATTTTTTCAGTTTTCTTTTATTTTCACCGAGAGAAGGAAGAGGGGAGGTAACTAATTGCGGCAATGGATCATGGAAATCTCTATTATCACACGGCCTTACGAGCTGTGCACTAAACGAGAAACAAAAGTAGGGACGGTTGTAGCAAGCAAGATAACGTAGTTACCGTTTGTTAGTCTATTTGTAAAGTCTCTATGCATAGCTCTATTATGGTTCATGTACGTTGACCAAGTTTGATTGGATAACTTGACTCTGGTGGCTCTGCTGCCTATTAATACCGTCCCCTTTTCCTTCCTTCATAAAATCAGCGATGGCTTGGATGTACTTTTATACCTGATCGTGATTTCTCATTTTGTTTTCTTTTCAGACCCGAGGTCGATGGAAGGTAATTATCCGGCTATGCTAATAAATCATAGAAATCTTCATTAACACGAAGTCTTTCAAGTAAGAAACGAAAGCCGATGTTGTATATAGTCGACATGGTTATTTTTTAAGTCAGAAACTAACAATCCAATTCTTTTTTTGTAAAATAATACCTATAATGAAATTGGAAAGGATAATTTTGTTGAGAGGGGTAAATCGTAGCTTGTAAGAGCTGTATAAAGGACCCTCTTCATCTTGTGTTCTTTGACGTATCTGGAATCTTGAATGAAGCCCAAATGATTCAGTAAACAACGATTCAGTTATAGGGTATTATACTAGTTTCTTAATCTCGTCTGACAGGAAAGTATAGAGAACTAGAGACTGATAATATCAATAGTAATATCTTTCTTGTTCACTTCGCAATTCTGTCGTTCAAACGAGCAACAAAACAGCCAGAGAAACTGAGTATTTGGCTATTTAAGGGAAAAGGGAAAAATGCTTCTTGGTGTACCCATTAAAAACAGGTGTGATGAGGAGGCGCAGGTTAACCGACTTACCGTATCTCCTCCCTCTAGCATTCAGGACCTTCTTAAAGTTTAAACACACTCCTAAAGTTGAAATGAATAAGATGACTACGCAGATTCTGATAAGCGTTAACGTCATTTTTACACAAGGTCTGCATATTTCCAATTGGCTAATCAGTGGCTAATCAGGGGCTAATCAGTGGCAATGCAGAACGCATTCTTTTTGTGATCCAAGTTTTCCTCTCTTTTTTAATTGGGTGAAATGAAAGATATGCGGCAGTGAACTCCACAAGTTTTATCTATTAGGAAAAAGTAAGGATTATTTTATTATTCTCGTTTACAGAAGTGTGCATTAATACTGATGCATTCCACTCATAATTTTTACGTAAGGTCATTCAATTAACTAACCGTTCCCACGACTCGTGTTTCATGTAAGATCGTAAACATTTGTTGAGCCGTCGATTTCTTCTCAAAAAATCACTAAATGTCATTTGCTCGTGTTCTGGTTTTCACAGCAACTGCAATCTTTTTTAAAATAAATAGTTAAACGCTAAGTGTTCAATAGCTGCTATTGTTTCTGTCTTAGTAGTCTTCAGTGAAGCGTTTTCATGTCAACTTAACGAATTTGATTTACGCGTGTTATTGACAAGCACCTTATTTTAACAATTTCGATTTTCAAGGCACTTAACTAGAAACAAAAGTAAGGATGGTTTTATCTAGAGACATAACGTAGTTACCGTTGGTCTCTTTTAACAATGACCTCTCTTTTTTATACGTTTGCCTTCGGCTTGTAGTTTAAAAACTTTAGTCCACGTGGTTTATTGCACCGGTAATTATGGTTTATTGCTAAAGTAAACAGTGACTTTTATGTGTGATTGATATGCTTCATCTTTCTGTTACTTTCAAATTGGCGTACAAGTTGGATATAGAAAGTTATCAAGGATTAAAAGTAATTGCGGTTCCTTTCATGCCATTGTACTTTCCGCTTAAAAGTGAAATGAAATTTCCCATAATAGTCTGTTTTTTTTCTGATTGTAGTCGTTTTCAACAGGACCATGGTAAATCAAAATTTACAATATATATTTTCCAGTATAACGTGTGTATATTTTACAACGAACTTCAAAATATAGGAGTTTCCTTTTTCCAAGACTAGAAAAAAATGCGAGATCAGGGCATGAAACAGGCTCTAGCCAGAGTGATTCTTCACTGATGTCTGTTGACTTTTTAGTGCTGACACTGAATTTCCTCTGGGAGGATCAAATGTCCGATTTTAATTCCGTTTAAAGTTTATAACTGACATCCCCCGTTGGAAGAATCTCCTAGATACAATTGGATAATTAAAGAACCCTAGTTTTGCACTCTTATCTGGTGGAGTATGTAACCCACCTTTTCTTCGCACCAGTCTTCTAGACGATCAATACTAAAACTATTCATTCTGCCGGAGTGTGTGCCAGCCTCTGTTGGAGACTGCAGGTAATTTAGTGTTCTCGGAATCGGTCACCCAGTCGTCTTCCTGTTTCGCCGATGTATAACTTATTGCAATAAGTGCAAGTTATGCAGTAAATAACATTGGCGGAGGTACACGTAAAGTGATCAATGATCTTAATGAATCTTTTGGGTCCCGATATTTTCTCTACGTTATGAATGAAAGGACAAGTTTTGCATCGTGACCGATTCCGAGAACACCTTCGCGATGTGGAAAGAAATGACAAGGACGCATCCAAACCAGTCGCTAGACACTTTAATCTTCCTAAGACCGCATTTTTCAATGCGCCTTATTAAGCATAGCTATGCTCTTGTTGATGCTATGTTATTGGACTTAAAGTTTAAGTAATTTATCAGTATTAAATTCTCTGTTCAAATAATCACGAATCGGCCATTGAGCGCGAAGGGTTTCAAAAGAATACCACCGTAGCTTAGTATACCGAATTCTGAACAAGAGGCTATAAATTTAACACCAGCGACTCATTACTCATGCCTGAATGGACTGGTGTAAATTAAATTCCGTAAATGACTAAGCTTTTCCATCTCTAATGATCCGTTTAATGCGCAGCCTTCTCTGACGGTTTCAAGCACTAGCTATTTCGAGCGTTTTAGCGCTTTATTTTCACTTTGTATTATTAGTTGTTGCTGTGTGTGTCTTGTCTCCCTCCAGAAGTAAATAATTGTCATGATGGACATGTCAGATCTCAAATCCTTTCATCAAACAGTGCACTAAATACGATTAGTTTATGGCTACCCCTCATTATTTGAGAGAGAAAACAAGTCCAAAAGTCTTTTACCCTTTTTCCTCCCCTTTTTCACACATTAAATTTGATGTAATTATTTTTTTAAATTCAATGATAAGCGGGGGAGGGGAGAATTGCGGTTGACTTATTGGAGTTGGAAGTAACACAAAGGTAATAGGCTGCGATTGTAAATCATTGTTTATTTTGCAGTTCAGAAGTTTATTCTTTTTTGAAAAAAAGCATGGTCATTGTCCCTTTTCCAGGAATAGTTAAATATGATTAGTTTTCTTCAGATTTCAGAAAAAAATTGGTTTTTGCGTTTGACCAGAATGTTTTACTTTTTCCTGAGAAAAACACTTTGTTGTTTGATTTTTTTTTTCGTGTGTAGCAAGCTCAAGGAACAATACGATGCTGCTACCTGCTTTTGTTTATCTTATTCCTTTTTAACTACCAACTTTCTTATATTGACGATGTAACATAGTTTAGAGTGACGTTCAGAAAGGCGTTTTATCCTACAACGATGAACAATAACTGAATAAGTAAATGCTGCTCAAAAATAGCAATAGGGCTTGTGTATAGGCTTTATGAATATTTTACATATCCAAAAAATACGTGTTAGGATATCCAAATACGTGGATATTCTAACAAGTAAGGAAGAAAAAAAAAGGGAACGTAACTAACTGTGCCAATAAATCATGAAAATCTCTATTATCACACGGCCTCATGTACTTTCACCAAGTTTGATTAGAGAACTTGACTCTGGTGGCTCTGCTGACTATTAATTCCTTCCCTTTCCCCCTTCCCTCGTAAAATCAGCGGGACCTGGATATACTTTGATACCCGATCATAATTTCTCATTTTCTTTTCTTTTCAGAGAGAGAGAAGTGGTTGAAAGGTAATTTTCTATACTATTAAACCATGGAAATCTTCATTACGGCACAAAGTCTTCCAAGTAGCACACGAAAGCCGACATGTACTTTCACCAAGTTTGATTAGAGAACTTGACTCTGGTGGCTCTGCTGACTATTAATTCCTTCCCTTTCCCCCTTCCCTCATAAAATCAGCGGGACCTGGATATACTTTGATACCCGATCATAATTTCTCATTTTCTTTTCTTTTCAGAGAGAGAGAAGTGGTTGAAAGGTAATTTTCTATACTATTAAACCATGGAAATCTTCATTACGGCACAAAGTCTTCCAAGTAGCAGACGAAAGCCGAC